CTGACTCTGTAAACCGCTTAGAGAGGGCTGAAAGCCCTATGAAGCAGTATATAAGTCTAACTGCTATTGCTATTGCTATTGCTATATTTCTATCTCCTGCTTTAACCCAGTGGCAAAACCATAGGCTCCATATGGAAAGCATTGATCTCTGAAGCCCTTTGATGTGAAAGGCCATCCTTACCATTCCAGCCGCTGCCAACCAAACACTTATGAGCCATTTTCCTTTGCAGGATCCCACTCCAAATACGATGGAGCCAACCAATCAGCCCTTGGATGCAGAGTGTTCCAATGGAACTCAGTTCAGTGTGACCTCAGCTTCTCATTGTGTCCCTGAGAATTGCTGCAGATTGCATCATCTCTTTGCACTTATGAGCTGATTCTACCAGCAGGACAAGTAAGGGAAAGTATCTTCATTCACTTCCCTTGTGTCTGTTTTCCCACTAGTCTAGTCTTAGTTAAATTAATATCTGTGTTTAACAGACCCTACAGTTGTGGAATTTCCTGTGGTCTTCTATCCAAATATTTTCCTTAACTCTTCTAGATTAGCTAAGGTCAGCTAAATGCTCTCAAACAATCCTTTCTGGAGGTGACAGAGTAGCCTTTGTAAATTAGAACATAGAATCATAGTGCTGGAAGGGGCCTCGAAGGTCTGCTAGTCCCACTCACTGCTCAAGGCAGGTAACTGTATACCATCCTAGTGAAATAGTTGTCAAGTGTATTCTTGAAAACTTCCAGTGATAGAGCACTCACAACTCCAGGAATTAAGATTTGACAATGCTCACTTATGGATCAGACTGTCACTCAATAAAAACAACTCCTTTTCCACACACCTCCTATAGAGGAAAGGCTGGATGTGGCACTCAAACCTTTGAGGGCTTCCAAAATTACAGAAGCAAAATTAATATAGAGACATTTTAAAAAATCCACTGTTCCCCCCTTTTATGTATAAAAGGTAATAGTTTCCCTCTTTTCTGCTAAAGGTACTTAAATTACTTCCTTTTAAAAAAAAAATCCTTTCCCAATATATTTGGTGAGACATCAACTCCCCTTCTTGTGTGTCCTGGTCTCTCTCTCAGCAGCCTGATTAAGGAAAAAAGGTTTTTTCCCCCCATCAGATGGATCGTGAACCTATGATCCAAGATGCTTGTGAAGTCTCTGATTTAGCATCTTAACACAGTGGTTCCCAAACCTGAGTAAACTATCCCAAATTTGGTAAAAGCCATAATGACACATGAACCCATGGCCTAATCACAACAGGAAAGTTTAAATAAGAACTTTCTGATAAGTGGTGAAAAAGTATTTTTGATAGGAGATTTTGGGGTAACAAAAGAAAAAAAAGTGTGGGTAACAAAGGAAACTCTGTGTTAAGATGCT